TTTTTAAAAAATATTTATTTATTTATTTATTTAAGCTCATAGCCTGTATTTATTCAAGATGTTTTGCCATAATAATAAATTATTCAAAGTCTGATTTTATTTTGTGTTCTTTTCTGGTTTATTTTCGGGAGGGAAAAAAGCCAGGAGGCAGGGAAGGGAGCTGAGGTTCTGCTGGGGGTCAGGGCCGGCCAGGGTGGTGCGTTCTATGCACCCAGCTATTCTTCCTGGGATGCCCAAGGGCTCGCACCCAGAGGAGGCCATCCAGGGGGCCTCTCTGTGGAGCCCCAGGGACCTGGGGGTTGAGTGGTGACTGTCAGACAGGACCTGTGCCCTGCAGAGGGTGAGGACCCTGTGCCCAGGTCCCGCCCTCTCACTCCCCACTCTACAGGTAAATCAGCAGAGGAACCAACTATTCAGAGAAAAAGAGACCAAACCACAGGGGTCAGAGCTCAGCATATTTACCCAACTTTCCCCCGAATGTGTGATCGTAATCTGTGAGAGTCACAGTGTAAGTTCACAGTGTGTTGGGACATGAGTCTAGTCTAACATTTTACTGAACTGCTTTTTATTTTTACATCAAGTTTTAGATCCAAGAGGTGTTTTCTTCTAAAATATAGGACCTGACTAAGAAAAGTAGCCTCCTTGCTATGACAGCGAGGCTGAAGGCCCCTTCCCCACACCCAGTCCTCTGTGTCCCTCCAGGGGAGGGAAGGAAGGGAGTGTGTCCCAGGGCTCAGGGAAGCACAGGGTCCAGCCCTGTCCTTGCCCGTGGGCCTGCAGAAGCTGCTTCCTGGAGCTGCAGGCCCTGCTGGCACTCAGCAGCTGTGCCCACCATATCACTTACTCCCTCTGCTCCATCCTGCACCTGCACATGGCACCCACTCTGGGCAGAGACCTTGCCCACACTCAGGCAGAAAGGCCAGAGCTCCACATATGGATTCCATATCACCAGTCACAGGTCCAGCCCGGCTTTCAGCAAAGACAAGGACCCATGAAGCGTGCTGTGGTCATTAAAACTGCACGAACAGCACATCTTGCCCAGCGATAAGGTCCTCTCTGCCTTCCTCAGAAGCCATTGATGGCTGATAAGAGATTTGCATTTCCTTAGACCCACATATATAACGGGTACCCCTTCCCACAGAATTCTGCACGCCTGGGCTCAGATTGGCTGGAGTCTTCTTTGAATGGTGCCATGCACCTATACGTGCTCCTGGTTTGTGTGCTCTGGGGGTCAGAAAGCCATTTTGTACCAATGAATGAAATGACTCGTGAAAAAAACCTCACAGCGCTGTGTGATGAGATTCGGAGGGATCTCACTGATGACAAGAAGACATATAAGGTAAGCCTAGATCTCCATCAAAATTCTGTCCCAGTGGCCTTTGTGTTTCTGACCAACTTCTCTTGCTTCTAGGGTTCCTTTGATAGGCCCCAGAACACGAGTGAGGTAAGGAGCATCTACTCTTCGGGCCTCTGGGACCATATCTGAAGAGGGAGAGGGGATGACCTCAGTCAGCACACAGGGTGGAGAAAAGAAGAGGCAAAGCTGGAGACTGAAAGTCTGAGGGTAAACCCTCCAGCTTGGCCGACAGATAGACAGGTGGCCATGTCCTAGGCTTTGTCAGCCTCCTCTGCTACCATCCCAGCATGGGTGAGGGCTAGGGAGGACACAAGACACCTGCTGCTTCCATGGGTCTCCTGTGGGTGATTCAGGTCAGGACCTGAGCTTGGGTCCAGGGCTCCACGAGGCTGGGGTAGCCAGGGACAGACAAGGTTGGGGTTCACCTGTGCCCTGCAGTGCACTCCCACTACTCAGTGCCCCCAACCCTCTTTCAGGAGCTCTGCTATGCAAAGTTTACGGAGCTCTTCACCTTTACCCTGAAGAATCTCACAGATCATAACAAAGCCGACAGGCACATAAATAATGTTTATCAAAACATGAAGGAGCTCCCTGAAATCTGCCCAAAGCTGAAAGTAAGTTACTGTTTACTGTTAAGGGAAGTTGAGACTTAATTTACCTCTACAGCAGCCAGTGGGGCAAAGGGCTTCTTATGGGCATCACTTGCCATCCCTGAGGCTTCAGGCGCTACTCTTGGGCCATGGGTAGCTATTCTTTGGGACTGTCTCAACTCGCAGAGAAGTCCACTGTTGGACAGTGGGTGCAGGTTGGGAGTGAAAAGCTGGGCACAAGGAAGTATACATCAAGTGGTGGTTCTGGGAGCTTCTGTCTGCATCACTGGCCAAGGGGTTGCATTCCCAACCCCTGAAGGGTGAGTGGAGGGCAGGCAGGTCTGAGATAAGTCAGAGCTGGGCTGGTCACAGACTCTGTCCAGGGACAGGGAAGGGCATCTTTGGCCTGGCTCCAGCTGGAGCTTGTTCCAGTTTGTCCTAACCCTGGGTCTCTAGGCTGAGGAGCTTCCTACTTGGGGGAACGGGCTGTAGTTTAGGGGCACATGTCTGGAGGACATGACTGAGTCGTTGTTTCTTTACCAACTGCTTGCACGGGCCTTTGTGTGCCCTCCCTCTCCTGCTTGTCCTCCTGCCCTTGTCCTGGCTGGCCTGACAGCTGCCTACAGGCTTCTGGCTCCCTTGCCACAGTCACCGTGGCCCTCAGACTCGGCCCCCACTGCCTTCTCCGTGGCAGAGAGGAGTCCTCCCTGAGTTACCTCCTGAGAACGGGGGCTCACAAGACTCTTGTGGCTGGGATGACAAGAGTTTGCTTTCATTTTACTCATTTTTTTCTGCTATGATGATGATTCACATATGTTTCTTATTTAGCCAACAGACTCATCCAAGGGCTGTGCTACTGAGCAAAGCAATTTCTCCAGGTTCAAGGAAGCCTTAAAGAGTGTTATCACATCCATAGAAGGATGGAAATCGTGTCAGAAGATCCAGGCCAGCCCCTGGGACTCTGTCCTCTCCCAGGGTTAGAGCGGGGATGGGGGGGTCTGCTGGCCTTGGGCTGACGGGGCGATGTGGGTGGGCGATGGGGGTGCTTTGCCCAAGGACACATTTGTAATGGAAACATCAGCAGTGGCTGCTTCAATAAAGCTTGTTTGTGGCAAGCTGGAGAGTGAGAGTCATGACAGCACAGCCTCACTGGGGGCCCCACTGACTGCAAGGGCAGGGAAAGAGCACCATCACCAGGCTCCTGACCCTGAGGCCCAGAGGTCTTTCAGGAAGAGCAGGGGGACCCACCCAGTCCTTCCCTCTGCATCTCCAGGACGGTGGGACACAGGAGCGGCTCCCTCAGTGCCTGTGCGGCTCATCATGCTCCCTTTCTCCCCTGTCCTTCAGAAATCAACTCATCCTTTCCAGACCCTCTGCCCTAGCTGGTCAGGCCCCATTCACCTGCAGGTCCAAGAACCAAGACTGGAGGCTCAAAGCTGTACCTTCTCTCTTCCTTTGTTCTCAACCACAGGGATCTCCAACTCCCCCTTACCCCAGGCGCAGTGTGACGCCACAGAAATGTTAGCCCTGCTGAATGGATCAGAAGAACAAGGACTTCTGGCTACTCACAGAGGACTGGGCACAGTTGGGGACACAGGAAGGGGGCGTGCGCACAGGGGCCCTATCTGGACTGGCAAGGAGTCACTACATCTCAAAACAAAGCCCCTAATCTGGCCTACGGAGCCGCTCCCGTCTTCCGAGGGCATGGCAGCCCTCTCCCTGACTAGTAACACCCTTCCACTTCCAGAGCACTGCATCCTGCTGGGGCAAATCCACCAGCAGCTCAGTCCTAGGTGTTGCCAGATGGGGCTACCCAGTTGTGACCACCCGCCAATTCTAACTGTAACTCTGATCATTTGAACAGTTTTTCTTGGGGGTATTTGGGTGCCTGGGATTACCCCACAGTCCAAACAGCTTCCTACGATTCAAAATTCTTAGGCCATGAGCTTTTTGAAGGAAACAGGATAGATAAAGATCTGTTTACTCTGGAATATCATGAAAATATCATGCTGCAACCTCAACTTGGCCAAAACCAGACCTGCCGGAAGTTTGCAGAATCTGCCCACAAACAGGCTCTAAAACTTTAGCTTGTGCCTGCGACAAACACACAGGCCATTCGTAAACCTGCCCAACCCCAGTCCTTGCCCTTGGATCCCCAGGCCACCCCTGCTCACCTCTGCCTTGAGAGGCCGTATTAACTGCCAGAAGTCAGCAAGTATTACTAAGCAAGGTGGCCCAATCATCTCAGAACACAGAGAGCATCTTGGTGGCCCTGGATAGGAGTCAGGGACTAGTATGGGGCCAGAGCCAAAGGAGTTTCAGTGCGGAGAAAGTACATGTACCTGTCACCTGAGACTGTGAGCTCCTGTCCCTTGGGTGTACTGTGTAGGTTCCTAAGGCTACTTCTTTGTAAATGGGGTACACAGCTGCCAAGGTCTGCTGGGACACCCTGGCAGGAAAGCCCCCACTTTACTTCTCTAGCTTTCAATTAGCGGGCACCAGG